TTAAAGGGACAAGAGAGTTCTGTTTATACAAAGGTTTGCCAGAGGCACGGTCCTTGGGCAAAGCACCCTGTGCCTACACTGATAGCTTTTATCTGAAGAATTACAGGGTACAGCCTGTATGTGATTGGATTGCTTTCAGAGACATGGTCTTTTCCTTTAGGGGTCCAGGTCCCATCAGTCCATCACAGTCAGTACATTTTTTTTTATTTTTCTCCAGCTTAATTCAGTAGCACATGAGTAGGAAGGTAGGCAATTAATGGAAGCAGTAATCCAAGGCTAAGGATTGACAGAGAAATATCAGTAATAGAATAAGGGAGAAAGGGGACTCAAGAGAAGAAGATAGTGTGGAATCATACTTGTTCACCAAAAAGTCAAGGTGGGGAAGGGGTGAGAGGATATTCAGTGGACTGTGAGGCATGGGATTTGAGGGCATGGTGAGGACAAAGTCAAGATTAGGAGAAGCCAGAAGCAAGGAGGGGGAGGTGGGATGACGGTGAATTGTGGTCTGATAAGGGAATTTCAAAGTTCAGAAACATGGAAGTGAAGCACTTGTGAGGGATCTAACCATCTCAGTGAGTAGTTGAACTGTTCAAAAGAAATAAGATAATAAACTGAAAGTTTAGAGTGATTGAGGAAATATCAATCCATATGCCAAAGATCCCAAGGGAAGGAACTGGAAAGGAGAGAAAGTCTGTGAGCCAAGAATTGAACTCATTGGGAAAAGAAGAGTGTCCTGAAGATCAGGAGATAATAACTTCCAGAATCTTCATTGAATAGTAATTATGGATTGTGAGCCTCAAACAAAGAGAGGTTCCTGAGAGATGTGCCTAGAAGTGTCCAAGGAGCATTCCAAGTCCTCCACCATGACCAGTTCTGGAAAGGATGACCAGGGAAGCTGTGTCCTAAGGACAGGGCTGGGTTTTAATGAGTGTAGGAAGATGGACAGATGGGGCAGCTAGGTGGTGCAGTGGATAGAGCTCCTGCCTTGGAGTCAGGAGCAGCTAGGTTTGAATCTGGCTTCAGACACATAATACTTACTAGCTGTGTGACCCTGGGCAAGTCACTTAACACCATTGCCTAACCCCCCCCCCCACAAGAAAAAAAGATGGACAGAACAGAAAAGGCAAAGGTTTAAATGAAAACAAGATTTTTACCTATGGACCAAGCATTCCAAAGAGCAACATGGAAGGAGTGGGTAACTAGAGTTGGATGTTTGGGGTGGGGCTGGATTAAGCCAGATGGGAATAAGGGAGCAGGACAGGGAAGCAGGTTTAAATAATGACTAGTGGGATTTGTGATGTGGAGGGTATGATAGGACAGAAGTCTACAAATCACTGAGCAAGGAGTTCAGGTGGGTTTTTTAGCATCCCTGGGAGTTGTGCCATGTTGTTGACATCAGAGTATACCTGTAAATGCCCAAAGTAGATGGGGGAAGAGGTAAATCCTGGGGCACAGGCCCAAGCAATCAGGCTGGTAGAGGGAATGCAATGAAATGGCAATTTCTTCCTTCTCCCAGCAGGCCTAGGAAGATGACTGGCAGAGAGAGCTCAATAAAATGGTATTTCTCTTCTTCCTTCAGCAGTTCCAGCAAGGCAACTGCTGGAGGGAGGCCCATAGAATGACGCGCAGTCAAACCCATTCTAACAACAGTTGACCAGGAGCCAAGTGACCTGCTTTTTCCAGGCCAACAGGAATCAATCCTAATGAGGATCCAGTTCGGCTGCTAAGTGACCTTCTTGATCCGGCCTGGCAGCAAAATGATCCATTCTGCTGAGATGCCACAGGCACCTGAAAGGAGCCACCCCAGCTAAGCAGTGAAGCAACTGATGCCATGCCCCACAATGAAGTTTGAGAAGGCCCTCTATAAAAAGAAAAAACAGGAGGCTCTTCATTGCCATGGCCCCATGCACCCTGTACACATGCACTTCCCTACCAGCATGCTGTATGTCTGTTCCCACTTTTCCCTTTCTTGATTTTGGGTGTCTGCGGTAAATTATGCCCAAGTTTTTATGTAAATGGTACTTTATTTTTTCCAGTTACATGTAAAGATAGTTTTCAACATTCATTTTTATAGGATTTTGAGTTCCAAATTTTTCTCCCTCCCTCCTCTGCCTTCCCTGCCCCCTTCCAAAGATGGCAAGCAATCTGATATAGGTTATACATGTTATGCCCAAGGTTTGGGGAAGAAATTGTAACTACTATTATTCCTATGTCATTTGAATAAACACCTTTGCTAAAGAACTGAGTCTACAGACTGATTGTAAAGAGCACACCAGTGGGGGCTTCTGAGCTATGGTGTCAAGAGGATGGCCAGTTACAGGGTTCCTCCTAGAACACTGAAAGTAGTAGTAGCTGCCCATCCTGGGCATCCAAACTGATTAGTGTTACTGTGGATTTGGGGAGTGAACCCAGAGGGTGATGTTACACTTATGTGTATGTGTTATCACACTTGATTTAAGGGAAGGTCCTTGAGAGAAGAGACTGTTTCATGTCTGTCTTGGTATCCCTGGCACCAATCGCATTTCTTAGGATGCAGTATGTGCTTAATAAACAAATGCTTGCTGCTTGTTGACTGACTGATTAATGTTAGGAAAAACAAACAGTCACCTAAAAGTGGAATTCACCACCTTGGAAAGAAAGGAGTTGTTTCCAGTCTCTCTGGATGTGTTCAGCCAAAATCTGCATTAATATTTCGGGGCAATATTTTGGAAGGGATTCCTATTCAGTTTGGCAGTTTGGATGGGATGGCCTCTGAAGTCTCTCCCAACGTATGTGTAATTTTGTGAAATTGATGTGATGTACTAAGTGGTCTCTAAGGGCCCTCCCAGCTCTACAATTGTACAGAAGGAACCTCCCAAATCTGACATAACTCTGTTCTAATATTCTATGTTCTAAGGTCCCTCCTCATTCCAACATTTTGGATTCTCAGGAGCGTCCCAGATGTGAATTCTATAACTTAAGGTACTTCTCATCTTTCAGGCTCTATGTTCTAAATGTAAAGGTGGAGATCCACTTAAAAGTAATGACTATTGTCAGGAAATAACTCTTCTTGACTGAATCAACCAGAATTAGGTCTGACCAAAGACTGGATATTTCTTTGAACCATTCACAGACATTTCAACTAAGAGTGACAGGAAGCCCCTTCTGATTATGATAAGAGACTTGGTATGGCCTCTGAGTCTTGCATAAGAACAGCAAACTAGTTTGGGACCTGAGAGATTTAAAAGCCTGATGTCAGACAGGAAAGTGTTTCAGCTAAACCCTTTATAAGGAATTGCTTGGGAAGGAAAGCAACTTTGCTCCCTCAGCCTTGCCCTTCCTTGCCTGGAGGAAGACTCCATGAGCTTCAACAGGTCTAGAGGATTTTGAACTTCCTCTCTTCCTATTGCCATCTCAACAGCATCCAAAGAACAGGGAGTTCAGCGTGTACCTTGGAAGCTAAGAGAGACTGGATGAAGATTCAAAGTTCTATAAGGACCCCTGCAGGAAAAATATGCCATGGTTAAGTGGACCATCTAAAGAATTCCAGAAAAACCATTTCTAGCAGCTGTAAGTTACCTCTTTGACCAATAAGTTTGAGTCTCTTCTCCCATGTACATTGTACATACCTATGAGAGTATGTAGTAGACATTTTGAGAAGAATGCTGAGTACAAAATGTTTTAACTCTACCAATTTAGTAGATGCCCTTTTCTAATTAAGCTTATTAAGTCTAACTGACAACTTGATAACAACATATGATCATGACAGAAAGCATTCTTGTGAGGAGTTATGATCTATAACAGTAGAAAACAACTCCCTAGGGCAATACCCCCAAGGAGCTCAAAGAAAGAGGAAAAAGATTCATATGTGGAAAAATATTTATGAAAGTTCTTTTTATGGGGGCAAAGAATTGGAAACTGAAGGGATACCCATCAATTGGAAAATGATTGAACAAGCTGTGGTATATGAATGTGATGAAATACAGTTACTTTAAAAACTAATGAAGAGGATGGTTTTAGAGAAGCCTGGGGAAGATTTATATGAATTGTTGCAAAGTTGAGTGAGTGGGACCAAAACCATCTACACAGTATCAGCAATTTTGTAATGTGATCAACCATAAAAGACTTAGTAACTCTGATCCACACCATGGCCCAAAGAACTCATGATGAAATATGCTACCCACCTCCAGAAAGAGAGCTAGTGGACTCAGTGCAGACTAAAGCAGGTTTTTTTTTTCTATTTCTTTCTTTTTCTTGAAACATGGCTGATGAGGAAATTTGTTTTGCATGACTATGCTTATTTATAATAGATTTTATTTTTCTTACCTTCTTATTGGGCAGGGGAGGTAGTCCACTTTGCAGCTGTTCCCCTGCCTTGGTTTCAACTCCACAGAACAATATGCCCTTCCCAAGATTAGCTCATTACTTCTAAACTCACCACAATGCTGTTGACTCAAGCTTTGATTGACACCACCTCCCTTAGCCTCCTCTCCCCTCTGATTGGAAGGCTGGAGGGCAGAATACCAAATTTCTCCAAATGCCTTCCTTTGTAGAGGGCAGAAATTGGACTCAACTCACTCCACTTTGCATCTGATGCCCTACTTGGTTTCAACTCCACAGGACAAGATACTCCCTGGTGTCCCATCCTCATCTTCCCTCCACCCTCTTTCCTGCCTCCTTTTGTACATTATCTCCCCCTTCAGTTTGTAAGATCCTTGAGTATAGAGGACTGTTTTTCTTTTTGTTGATCAGATCCCCAGCACTTAGGACAGTTCCTGGCACATAGTGAGCACTTAATAAATGTTTATTGGATTAGAGGGAGAGAATGTGGACTGAAAAAATAATAAACAGTCTCTATGTTTTGAGTAAAGACGGAAGGAAGGAGAGAGAAAAGAAGAAATGGGGAAAGAAAGAAGGAAAAGAAGGAATGAAAGAGGAAAGGAAGAAAGAAGGAAAGAAAGGAAAAAAGAGAAAGGAAGAAAAAACAGAAAGGAAGGAAGTGGGAAAGGAAGAAAGAAAAAGAAAGAAGGAAGGAAAGAAATAGGGAAAGAAGGAAAAGAAAACAACTCCAATCCATCAGGGATATGAGGAAATGGAGTAGCCAGGCTCTGGGGACCCAACTCAGTGCAAGTGGGAATTGGGATGGTAGTGCCAGAAAACATGTTATACAAGGGACCCCCTTCCCCCAACACTGAGATTCTATGCTCTATGACCCTGACTCAGATAACAAGGGTTTTGTCCTCTGGACAAATGCCCTAGTGAGAACAGGACATGACTTCTTGTAAAATGCCTTCTCTGCAGCCTACTCCTTTGCTTCCTGGGGCTAGGCTGTCCAAAAGGAAAGGAGACTTTGTTGTCAGGTTATCTCAATGTCATTGGGCAGATCAGAGAAGGATCTGAGGAGTGGGTTTCCAGACAGAGTGAGCTCCTTCCAGGAATAGAATTAGATTGTATCTTCTTCATTTGACTTCCCACCCCATGAGTCCCAGATGCCACCTCATTGAAACAATCTCTGAGCACTGGTCCTGGGCATCTCAGTTCTCTGGGTTCTGGCTCTCCAGGTTGTTTCAAGGACTGATTCTTCTGAAGTTAAGGGATGCATAGTGAATCTCCTTTGAGGGTTCCGAAGTGGCTGGGCTAGGCAGAGGCAACCTGGGACCCCTGTGTTGATCCTATAGGAGTGAAAGGAAAAGAATCTGGCATCAGCCCAGGATACTGAGGATCCCGGCCTGACTCTGGGGAACCAATCATGGTTTGAGAAGAAGGCTATCTTGGTTTTTGGTCAGGAGCCTTTCTCTTAGGAATGGTTAGTGCTATTTGCTTATGCATATGGCCTACCAGCCAAATTGTGATCTTTTCAAGGTGGGGGTGGGGCACAGAATGAGATACAAAGAGGGGGAAGCCATAAGCTGGTGGTCAGAAACTATGGTTTTGAGTCTAACCTTTTCCTATTACTTCATGGGTGAACTTTGAGGAGGCCGCCACTGGGGCTTCAGTTTCCCCCTCCTAATGTAATAGCTGGTGTATATAGTCCTTTAAATTCTACCAAGTGATTTGCAGATCTCATTTCATTGGACTCCCAAAATAACCCTGTGAAGCAGGTGTTAGGGATATTATTATCCCATTTTAAATATAGGGACAATGAGGCTAAGAGACATGAAGTGATTTGCCCAGGGTAAATCCCACTAAGTGTTAGAAGTTGGCTCTGAACCCTCTCCATGACTCCACAACCAGTCTACTCTGCCAAGTTATAGTATGTCTGATATAACTGTGTAACCTTAGGTAAGTCTCTTCTCCTTTCTGGGAAACCTCTAAGCTCCTTGGGTAAGTTCCTTCTTTCTGTTGGGGCTCAGTTTTCACCTATATAAAATAAGCAAGGTTGCACTAGATCAGCTCTAAGGCTTTACCAGTAACTTTCTGTGTAACCTTGGGAGAGTCTCTTTTCCTTTCTGAGCCTCAGCTTTTCCTCTCTGTAAGATTCCTTCCAACTCTAAAGTCTATGAAAAGTGAGCGACCTTGGGGGAGTCACTTTCCCTCCCTCTCTGGGCCTCAGTTTCACTCTATAAAATTGAAGTGAAATCAGTCATGGTGGTGTCTTAGGTCCTTTTCTTCCATGATCGGTAGGCACAGTGATGCCTTGGAAAGAATACTAGATGTAGAATCAAAGGACATGTAATTGAATTACACTGCCCCAGTCGAGAAGTGACCTCATCGAAATACTTCCTCTTTCCAGGATTTAGTTTCATTATCTGTAAAACTGGGGCTTGGGTGAATTTATTTCTGGGGTTCCTTCTACCCTTAAAGCTCTGATCTCATGAACCCTGTTTATATAAATGAATGGCCTGAAGGCAAGAGGGCACCAAATGAGGAGTGCCTTGATTCAGAGCCTTGAAAATGGAGAGAATTATGGATAGAAGGGATTGACCAGGGCCAAGGAGCAAAGACTCTCAGGGACAAGAGGGATCAGCGACTCCCAGCTCCCCATGGTGCCACTGAGAAAATTGAAACCGAGAAAGGAAAAGGAACTAGCATCCACTTCCTTATCTCCCCCCTCTTGGAGCCTTTCATCACTCTGCCTTCTGACCTTATTACTCAATTGAAATTTCTCTCTCCAAAGTTACCAACTTATCACACAATAGAATAGCCTCTTCTCTATGCTCATCTTCCTTGACATCTCTGTAGCTTTTGATGCTGCTAACCCCCTTCTTCTAGATATTCTCTCCTCTCTGGGTTTTTTGTCACTGCCCCCTCTGGGTTCAACAATCTATCTGATTATGCCTCCTCCATCTCCTTGGCTGATTTGTTATTCATGTCATACCCCCTAACTGTGGGTGTCCTCCAAGATTCTGCTCTGGTCCTTCTCTTTTTTCTCTACAGTCTCTCATTTCATGATTTCATCAGGTCCCATGTGTTGGATTACCATCTCTAACCAGATGACTTCTAGAGCTATATAGGGTGTCCCAAAAGTTTTAGTGCAGTTTGAATTTTTTTTATATATACCTTTAAACTGCACTAAGACTCCTGAGACATCTTGTATATTCAGCCCAACATGCTCTGCTAAGCTAGTCCTACATCACCAATTTGCTATTAGACTTTTCCAACTGGATGTCCTGTATCCATCGCAAACTCTGCTTATCCAAAACAAAACTCATTATCTACCAGACCCCCAATCCTCTCTCCCTTGACCTTCTCCATCACTGCCAAGGGCACCACCACCCTCTTGGAATCTCTAGTTTCTTCAAAACCCAAATCAAGTGCCCTCTTCTCCATAAAACCTTTCCTGGTGCCTCAACCACCAGTGCCCACCCTACAATAACCTCCTTGTACTTGTTACGTATGTTTTCAATAAATACTTATATGCATGCATTTTTGTCTCCCTGTAGGGAGGGGACAGGGCTCTTTTGCTTTTGTCTTTCTGTCCCCACTGCTTAATATAATGACTGAAACATCATAAGAGCTTAACGAATTCACTGATCTCCTCAAACCCCCTGCCTCTACAGCCCCCTTCTTCCTATGACTGGAGAAGATGGAGGGTGACCTTGGAGAATTCCTCACAGATCCTCCACTTAAGCAGGGCACCCAGGACAGCCATTTCATCATTTCTCACCTGAATGCTCTCCTGGACTTCCTTGTGGTGTCCAGAAACTCATTGTCCTGCAAGATTACATCAATTCTCAACCAGTACATCCTCAGTAAGTCCCTTGGGCCCAGCTCTTCCTCTGATGGGAGAGTGGAGGGTGGACGTTGGGGAACTCCTATAAGATCCCCCACTTAAGGAGGGAAGAGCTATTGCCCACCTGGCTGCAGGACTTCCTCATACCCCACATTGGGTATCTGTCTCCACCACTTTTCAGTTTCTTTTCATGCATCGTCTCCCACATTTGAGCATAAGCTCTCAAAGGCAAGGATTGTCTTTTGCCTTACATGTATCCTGAGTTTAGCATGGTGGTTGGCACATAGCAGGTATTTAATAAGTGTTTATTGACTGTGATTGATTGACTGGCTGACAATGTCTCAGATGTTGGTGCAAACTCCTCTATTTCTCATTTAAAAGCCCTTCACAGTCTAGCTACAAACTTTATTTGAAGACTAATTAAAATGTTCCTCCCTCAGGCACTTGTGGTTCTAAGCAAAAGGACCTACATGTTATTCTCAGTTCACAACATTTCATGTCCAGCCTTTGTACCTTTGCAGAAGCAGTGCACATGCCTGAAATGTATTCACTCTGGTTACTCACCTCTGCCTTTTGGAACTTCCTATTTTATTTTATGGGCAGTTAGGTGGCACAGTGGATAAAGCACTGGGCTGGGAATTAAGGGTTCAAATATGGCCTGAGACACTGAATAGCTGTATGACCCTAGGCAAGTCACTTAACCCTATTTGCCTCAGTTTCCTCATCAGTAAGATGAGCTGGAGAAGGAAATTGTGGACCACTCCTAGTTTCTTTGCCAAGAAAACCCCAAATGGGGTCATGAAGAGTTGGACAGATCTGAAATGACTGAACAATAACAACAGAACGCTCAGGCCGCACAGCCAATAGAAGTCACAAGCAATGCTTAAAACCAAGTATCCTTGATCCCATCACCAGTTTTCTAGAGTACACCATGCTTCCTCAGACCTTGCACATAGAAGACTTTTTTTAAAAATCATACTTGAATTGAAGCTGGCCCAAGTCCTTCATTTCAAAAATTAGGAAACTGAGGCTGAAAGGGGAAAGACCATGTCTGAGATCCACTGAATATCCTACTCCAAATGTGGCCTGACAACAGCAAAGACCAACCCTTCTTCATGGCTGATCAGTGGCAGAAACCATTTTTTAATCTTCTCTAACTCCCCTAGTTTTGGAAGGTGAGAATGGTGTTTCAGGACCATGGTCAAGTCACTCACCAAAGGGACCCCTTCAGAGACCTGATGGATATTATCCACTTCCTTGCTGTCCTGGGGGTCTGAGTCCTCTACCTGCCTCTTCCTCAGGAATTTCACACTGAAAAAATGAGCCCAACATCATGACATGACCCCTAATCCCACCACTGAGGTAGTCCTTTTCCTCCCACTCCCAATCCCAGCTTCAATGCCAGTCACCTCACTCACAGTGCCAGAATGAGACATAGGGCAAAAAGGGCTATGATTCCAGCTCCCAAAAAGATCCCTTTAGAGAATGTGAGGAGACCATTTCTATCTGTAAAAAAAGGATTAGATATGTAAGGCTCTCCAAGAGACATGTGATTTGGGCAGCTAGGGGGCACAGTAGATAGAGTGCCAGCCCTGGAATCAGGAGGACCAGAGTTCAAATCCAGTCTTGGACATCAGCTTTGCCCTCTGTAAAAATGCCAGGTGCTGCTTTGCCCTATTAAGGAACTAAGCTTTCCAGGGGTGTCTGTTGCTCTATTTGCCATTCCCCTCCTCCATCCACAAAGTACACATGTTTTCAGATCCAAGTATCCTGGCCCCCAATACTCACAGGTAACACTGAGATGAACAGTTCTTTCTGTGCTTACTTGGGCCCCAGGGAGGGTCACTTGACAGGTAAGATTAGAGCCATGGTGCTGGAGACTTGGGGTAAGGGTCAGCTCAGAGAAATAGGTTGTTTCTCTGCTGACTTTCTGGGAAGAGAGGATAGCCCCTGTCCAAGAGAAAATAGGGGGCGTCCCACACACAAAGTCTGAGGGAACAACACAAATCACTTTCACCAGCTGTCCAGGGTCCAAGGTCCTTGGAATGTAGATGTCTGGCTTCTGTGTCAGAGCTGGGGGAAAGAAAGTGAAGCAGACCTCAGATAAGGGACCTCCAACCTTAACCGGTAACCTCAAGACCATCCCTGATATATCTCTAGGTTCCCCTGACAATGGGACGTCCCTTCTAAGATTGCAGCTCTGTCCTTCCTGCATCACCCCAGGGCCTGAGCTACTCGCTGATGCCTAGAAGCCGCTGTTTCAGCAAATAGGAGCCCACAATATGGTCTCCACCATGATGACTTTCATGCTGTCCTCTATAACGTAGATATCCATCCCTCTTCCAATATCTCTGGCTCTATCTCTGACTCACAGGATAGCCCAGGTCATTGCCAATTCCTGACTCAAACTTGACTCATGCCCTGTTTCTCCAAAGAGAGGAGCCCCCAGTGAATCCCGCTTCCAGGACTTACGGCCTCTATACTCTCCCCTGGCCACTGGCATTGACTGGAGTAATACTTGTTCCCATGGCCCACCCTCCCCTTGAGACACGGAGCATGAGAGACCCCACTTCCCAGTGATTCTTTGGATGCTCCCTCTATCCCACAGCCTAGATCAATTCCCTGTCACTAAAGTCCTTACCTTTCACACTCACATTAACCATATAACTTAGGTAATTGAATTTCAAACTCTGTCCTCTGTGTATCCGGAAGAAGTACTGCCCACTGTCCCTTTTCTGGACATCCACAATGCTCAGGGAGCAGTTGTTCTTCTTAGGGTCCCCAACAAGATGGAATCGCCCCCTGGCCTCCTCCTGCTCATCCTGGTTTGGGTCATTTGTTACCACTGGTTTGTCTTTTTTAGTGTTGGCTCCCTTCTTGAACCAGGACCCAAAAGCCTGGGAGTCATGGATCATGTGATATGAAGGGTAGGAGAAAGCACAGGGGACCCGGATGCACAGTCCCTCTTGTACTGTCACTGATGCTGGGACCTCTAGCTTATACTCTGGGTACTGGGACAGGGACCCTGTGGGCAGAAAGATACTCAGGCAACATTAATCATGAAACTTCAGATAATAAAACCGCTGTTCTTACAACAGGAAGAGATCTCAGAACAGAGGATATCAGAACACAGAACATGGAAAGAAGCATGTGAGAGTCAGAAGCAACCATAGAACAGAGATTACTCAAAAGGGAAGAGAACTCAAAACATTAACCTTCAAAGCAGGTAAGGATGTTAAAGATCATCTATTTCAATTACTTTAAGTACTGATGAGGAAACTGAGAACCAAAGAGAGTTTGCTGACTTGGCCAAAGGGCTCACAACCAGAAGCAGAGACAGGAGTACAGCTAAGGCCTTCTGGCTCCAAAACTTTTGGTCTTTCCACTGTCCCACACCCCCCCCCAGACTCTTAGAGGGCTACCTTGACCATCCCAACACCAGCCCTAACCCTACTCACCCCCCAAGATCTGGAATGTCAAGAGCAGCAGCAGCAACATCTCTGATCCAGTAGAGGGATATGCTCTGGCTAGAAATGCTAAATGTTACATCATTCCCCAGAGTCTCCATAACCAATCAGCAACCAAGATTAAGAGCAAAGGGGAAACTGGGAGGAGGAAATGCAGACTTCCTCATAGCTCTGGAGAATGGTGAAAAAAATTAGTTTTGGGCTTGGAACACTTAACAGGGACATTCAAAGCCTTCTAGTATGTATCCCCACGCCACCTGTGCCCCAGATCTCCCAAGAGTCTGAATCCTCCAACTGAGCCAGGTAGGATTTACATTATCCAATATAAGGTCAAGGGAGAGTTTGATCAAGCTATTGTTCTGTATGTATGGGAAGGGTGGAGAAGCATAGGAGGGAGAAGACTCCCAAGTTGTCTATGTCCAGAGACAGGGAGAGAGAGAAGTGAAAGACCCAGGCAGAAAGAAAGGAGTAGCCACGGATCACAAAGGCTGGAGAAGAGCCAAAGGATAGATCAAGCTCAAGATCAAGGTTACAGCAGTCCAAGCTGAAGTACTAACTCAGAGGGAGCATTTGCCTCCTTGTATTCAGTTTATTTTGCTAATTGCCCACACTTTTTGCATTTATTTATAAATATCTGTTGCCCGGCAGAAATCACTGTGGCTGGCACTTTCTCTTGAGCTCCCTAATCTCCATCTCTCTTTCTTCAATGGATATAGGAAAACCCAAAAAACCATAATGGAAATGATGGGGATGGGATTTGCACTGGACCCCTAAAAGGAAAAGATCATGTCTTTGGGACCTGGACCCCAAAACCCCTGCACCCAGATCTCTAGCATTTGCCTGATGTACCTAGCCCATCCTGGTCAATAATCTTTTAACTGCCCTTTCATTGTGGCCCTCACTGGCTGCACCTGTCCCACCCCAGGCTTTTTGCCACTCCTTAATCCCATCTAGACCCCTTTCTCTGTGACCTCTGGATCACCCCAGGCTGCTTGACACCCCTAGATCCCATCTAGATCATCATACAGTCTTTCTGTATAAAAGTGTACATCTTTCTCCCATTAAATTGCTCAGATTCTTAAAATCTGTCCTGCTTCTGTTGGTGACACAATAAACTTTGTCTGTCACTGAAAGAAGGCTTGAGTCGTTGAATTCTTTCAAGACAGACCCACACCTTTGCCCTTGCATTTTGGGGTTCACAGCATCCCTAGACCACAACAGAAAGACACTTGTATGTTTTAAAACAATGAGATTGGTTCCTGGAGGTTAGTCTAGGGCAAAGGCCCCAATTCTATGTGACTTCTTTTCTCTGAAAAGCTAAAAAAAATTCACCTTGAAAATACATCTTGCCAATAAAATTCATTAAATGCTCTAAGCCCCCAGGTCAGCTAGTAATTAGGAAACATAGGGGAGTCTCTTGGCCATCTGAGCTTTAAATGGGCAAGTCATTTAACCCCTCTAGATCTCTGAACCTCTGTTCCTCATATGTAAAATGGAATGATAATAATAACACCCACTTCACAAAGTTGTTATGAGGATCAAATGACTTAATACATGTAAAGTGTTTTGCAAACCTTAAAACACTAACTAAGGGCAGCTAGGTTGCACAGTGTATAGAGCACTGGGCCTGGAGTCAAGAAGACCTGAGTTCAAATCTGACCTCAGACCAGATACTTGACACTTAGTAGCTGTGTGACTCTGGGCAAGTCACTTAACCCCAATTGCCTCACCCTCCCCCCCCAAAAAAACCCACTAACTAAATGGTAACTATTAATTGAATTTAGTGCAATCAATTATCCAGTTTCCCTTCTTTCCCTCACATTGTCCAATAAAATATAAAAAAACTTTCAAGATGCAATTAAAATGATCTTATCTTCATCTAAAAAATATTCTGAATAATGTAAATAATGAGCAAGAAAAACTTTTAAATGTGAAGTAAAACCTTAGTAATTAACTTGGCCACCAGTAAAATGGGGCCATAAAACAAGGACAAAAAGATGGAGTCAATGCATTATTGTTCCCTCAGCTACTCTGAGGAACCAGAATTCAGTTCCACTTTGCTGGATTCCAGATTAGTATGCTAAGCTACAAGCCAGGGAAAGGAAAAGGCTCCAGCTGTTAGAATGCTTGGAGTCAGTCTCCTGCCAAAGTTCCTCCATCTGTGGCTACCACTGCTGCTGCCCATGGCTGAATCATTGATGCTAACACTGCTACATCATTCATGACAGCTGCCTGTCACTGTGCTCTCTCCAGCTCCTTTCTCTGTACCAAATGGAACTTTTACAAAAATTGACCATATACTACATCACAGAGATAATACAAACAAAGGTAATAAGGCAGAAATAATCATTACATCCTTCACAGTCTCTTCTGTTTAATAGCTAATTATTACATTAAGACTAAGGTTTTGCCCCTTTTCTACTTCTTCATCCAGAAACCAACCAGCATGGGAAATCTCTCTTAGAGATTTACCCAGGTCAAGATCTAATCATACAGTAAAAGAAACTAAACTCTAAGTTTAGGCTAATGGCTATGTTTCTCCTCATTGTGTTTGCTCAGACTGGTCCCAGAGAAATGTTGATTCTCTCTATTATCAAGACTGGTGATATGGAAATTGATGTCTCTTTGACCAAGATTTGAGTGACCTAAATCACTCAATAAGTCAGGTCCCCAAAATAGCCTACCTCCCATTTGATTAACCAATTAGAGGTGGTTAGGCATCCCACAGGAACATCTCCTTTTTGAAGGGTATATAAACTGTAACTCCTCCCCCGCCATCATTAGGGGTCTTTGGTTTAAGAGAGATGGTCAAATGACCATTCTTTTATTGATAACCGGCTGGACTTATTAATAAAATGACTAAATTGCCCAGAAACTATGTCTCTTGAACTTTTTAATTGTCAGAATAGAAATTGGTTCAAGGACCACAAACAAAAGGTACAGACCCAAATGGAGACATAACAGTGAAATCTTAAATAATGAGTATGCCAAAGAATAAATCATAGAAACATCTCATTACTATGCAAAAGAAAATGATTGTGATGAAACAGCATACCAAAATTTCTGGTATGCAGCTAAAGTAGTCCTCAGGGGAAAAATCATATCCTTACAATCATATGTTAACAAAATAGAAAAGAGAAGATTAATGAACTCAATATGCACTTTTTTAAAATTAGAAAATTAATAAACAAACTCAAAATAAGCACAAAAGAAGAGAATTAAAAATTAGAAGGGGAAATAGATAAATTAGAAACAAAAACCATAAAAATAATAAATGAAACTAAAAGCCAGAGTTTGGTTTTGTTTTTTTTAAAGGACTAAATAAATCCATCAACTCTTATCTAAGGTGATTTTAAAAAAAGAGCAGAAAATAAAATCAATAAAATAGCAAATTAGCAAGGTGAAATCACAACAAAACCAGAAAAAGAGTAATCAGAACATATTATGCACTATTGTGTGCTAACAACACTAAGAACACAAAGAAATAGAGTAATACCTTCAAAAATATAAAATACTCAAACTCTCAGAAGACCAGATAGAGATATTAAATAATCCAGTTTCAGAAAAAATAACAATAGATCTAGCTGTAAATAAAAGAATTCTATCAAAATATTAAAGAACAATAAGTAAAGGCAAAGTTGAGGGGGAAAAGAGAACCCTGCCAGAATTTTTTTTTATGAGACATATATAGTACTGAAAATAAACCAAGGAAAGACAACACACAGAAAGAAAATATAGGCCAATATCATTAATTAATAGTCAATCAAAAATTTTAAACAAAATCCTAGTAAGCAGATTACACCAATACAAGAAATTATTCATTTATGATCTAGTGGGATTTATACCAGGGATTCAAGGATAGTTCAAAATTAGGAAAATTATAAACAGAGAAATATGTATATTCTTTTGCTATCCCATTTAGAAGATATCATCGTATCTTTTAACTCTAGTTTCTCCAGAAATTTGTTCGGTTCTCTTCTGTTTACCTTTCCATTAAACTTATCAAAAACTGACAAAGGGATATTGAAGTCTCCTGTCATTATTGTGTTACTGTCTGTGTCTTCTTAAAGCTCAGATGTTTCCTTTGTGAATTCTGGTGCTGTCAAACTCCAATAAATTATGGAGTCTGTTCTAAGAAAGAGATAAACAAACTTAGGGTGCATGTGTCCACTCTTCAATTTCTTTCAAGCTGACTTGACATGCATTGCATGGGAGTTCAGTCCAAAACTGGGCCCCTCCAAGGGGGCCAGTTCAGAGCTGGCTTGATTTGGGATTTAGAGGTATAGAGAAATATGCCCTTCAAAGAGTAGGTATTTCCAAGGGGTGCCAATCAATTCTGATTGTTCAACACACTGAGAGGTAGGTTATAATAAAATGAGGTCTTGAGTATGTAACTTTGGTCACATACCTGATATACCTTAATACCTGTCCTATCAGACCACCCCCAGTCTTGGGCTATCTAGGCAGAAGAATCTGTCTCTACCCAAAGCTGATCATATTAAATCAATTCAAGCCTAGGTGGGAGTTTGACCAGGAAAAGACTCAAGGCAATCTCTGCTGGGGACTCTGAGTCTCCAAGACACAGAATACCAAGAGAAATCATTTTTCATAATGCTAAGGCATTTGAAGTATCTAAATTTATTACTGATATTAGTTTGTTGTCTGTGATTCTTTTCAGCATAATATAATTTCCTTGTTTATCTCTTTTTGTTTTTTGAATGATTTTTGGGGGGCTTTTTTTTGTTGTTTTTTTTTAGGCAATGGGGTTAAGTGACTTGCCCAGGGTCACTCAGCTAATTCATGTTATGTGTCTGAGATTGGATTTGAACTCAGGTCCTCCTGATTCCAAGGCCAGAGCTCTGTCCACTGCACCACCTAATTGCCTCTGAGTGTTTGTTTTTACCTCATCTGATAACATCATATCAACTCCTGCTTTTTTGGATTCACTTGGTGCATGGTGAATTTTTTTTTCAGTCCCTCAATTTTATTTTGTGTGTGTGTCTTTGTTTTGTAAATGTGTTTCCTATAGCAACATTTGTATGATTTTGTTTTCTTATTCAATTTGTACCCTTTTTTGTCTTATTG